GCCCCGCTGTCTGCACGGCGCCCGGCCGAGTCCTCGCACGACACCCTACACTGCCTGTGCATCGCATCCCTCGGCCGCCCTGTCCGCCGCCAGCCTCGCGCAGCTCCCAGGTGCTCCTGGCCCAGAAAACATGACACCCAGACACACTGCGGCTTTCACCAGCAAGTCCCTGCCATTCCACTGTGCCCATCACCCCACTCCAGCTCTTGCAGGATTTGGGTCTCCTTCCCACGGGGGCCGACGACACCTCCCTCGGCCACCGTTGCCAGCTGCTCTCGGTGGCAAGGACGAATGTTTGCCTTGCCTGGGGACTTTGGCTCAGTGTTTGTGTATATAAGGCAGAACTGGTTTTCCTTTTTATTTTTCAGGCATCGGCCAAAATAAAAGCGAGCAGGAATCCTGCACGACGCTTCTTTGTTGCTGTCTCCTCCCAGCCCGCGGTGCTGCCGCAGGGGAGGGATGCCAGCTCCAGGGTCTCTCCAGCACTGATGCCCCGTGTGTGGCCAGAGTTGGGAGCGAGGGGTCCAGCTTGATCTCACCAAAACTGGTGCAGATGGATATCCTGATGCAGCAGCTTACCCCTGTAGCATGTGGTGTGCCCACCCCATAGGGGCATTGCTGGGGGTCCACGGCCGTTGCCACCGGGAGGGCTGGCTGTGCTGGGCTGCAAACTCGGAGCCCCGGGGGCAGCCGGGGAAAGGGTGAGGCCAGGCTTGGGCTGGCAGAGGCCAAAGAACAAGGCCAGCTGCCCACGGATGTGGCCACCTCCCATTGGCGCCTCCTGGCCTCTAATCTTGTTTTATGGCTGTTGACGGGCTGAACATCCTCCCTGTCCAAGAACAGCAAACAGAGAATGAGGATGTGAGATAGTGCCTGGGACAGCTGGCATCAGTGCCCAACACACTCCTCTCTCCATCCCAGCCACGTCTCCCCAGTCCTGCAGGGCACCGAGCAAGGGGCTGCCCTCAAATCCCTGCCCAAAACAGCTCCTCCAGCCCCAAGATGTGCCAAGTGTTGCCTGGAAAGAGAGAGGGACATGTGTGCTGAGGTGCCCGGGCAAGGCAGGTGGCTGTGGAGGGACACCTGATGCAGGATAAAGTCCTCATGGGTGGAGGAGATGAGGGAGCAGGAGCAGGATGAGGTGGCATTGCAGAGAGACAGAGCAAAGGATTTTCTCCTGATCTTGCAACAGCGGCTGCATGTACCACTGCTCTCTGGTGATCCCTTGCTCACCAGCATGGTGCCTGGGCTGCCCGCGGCATGGGACCACCGCCTCCCTGCAACGCTGCAAGGGGATGTGGGGCATCAGAATCTAAAACAGGCCAGAGGAGGCAAAGGAAATGGAGCCAGAGCCATATGGGAAAAGGAACTGAATGGGCCACTTGCCCAAAGAGCTGGGCTAGGCTGGGACAACTGAGGTCCACTTCTGTGGGGAGACCCCAGTGTGGTCCCCATGCCAGGGGCTGGCTCCTCCACATGCATCCTCCTCCCTTGCTGGGCTTCACCTGCCTTTGACATCCAATTTTGTCATTGCTACATGGAGACCGGCCAGTGGGCTCCTGCCCTGGCAGGGGATGGGGTGGTGGCCACTCAGCCCTGGGCATCACCATTGCCTGCAAGGTCTTGCTCAAGGGGGAAGCTTGAAGGGGAACAGAGTCCTGGGGTGGGCTGAAACGTGCGTCTCCCAAATTCGCTCGCTGCATTGGGGTGCCCACGGGTGGGCAATGGGCCGGGCTGGAGGGAAGATGCTCCACCACCCACCCAGAGAGGCTGTGGGTGCCGTTGACAGGATGAAATTCCAACTGATACCCTAATCTGGCGCCTGCCTGTTTGCACAGCAGGGTAAAAGTCCAGCCAGCCATGGGCTGTGCCCTTGGGTCCCTGCCGTCCGTGTGTGCTCAGGGAGCCGGCACTGGCGGGAAGAGGCAATAAATGCGCCCACACACCCAGCCACCCCTTCCCCCAACACACACACACGCCTCTTGGCCAGATGACGAAATGCATGATACCCTAATCTGGCGCCTGCCTGTTTGCACAGCAGGGTAAAAGTCCAGCCAGCCATGGGCTGTGCCCTTGGGTCCCTGCCGTCCGTGTGTGCTCAGGGAGCCGGCACTGGCGGGAAGAGGCAATAAATGCGCCCACACACCCAGCCACCCCTTCCCCCAACACACACACACGCCTCTTGGCCAGATGACGAAATGCATCTGCTGCGTCCCTGCTCCCATGTACTCCCCTGCCTCTCTCCGTGCCAGGCAAGGTACTGGTTGACCCCAGTTCCC